TCACACACTCTTGATCAAGACAGTGTGAAGAAAAACCAATTTATGGGGCCAACAAAAGCTTCATCAATGGAGGGCAACTACAATTCTCAAAAGCTTCACACACTCTTGATCAGGACAGTATGAAGCAAAACCAATTTATGGTGCCAACAAAAACTTCACCTACAAAGTTTCAACACAAAAACTTCAACTCCAAAGCTTCACCTACAAAAGCTTCCCTACAAAGCTTCAACACCAAGGCTTCACCTACAAAAGCTTCAACACCAAAGCTTCAACTCCAAAGCTTCACCTACAAAGCTTCAACACAAAAGCTTCACCTACAAAGCTTCAACACCAAAGCTTCAACTACAAATGCCAAAAGCTTCACACACTCTTGATCAAGATAGTGTGAAGCAAAATCAATTCATGGTACCCAACAAAGCTTCAACCTCAAAACTTCACCTACAAAGCTTCACTTATAAAGCTTTAATATATATATATATATATATTTATTTTTTTTTTTAGGAAATTCGAAAATTTGAAAATTCGAAAATTCGAAAAAAAAAATCAAAAAAAAAAGGCCTAGGCCTCCTCTTCTTTGGGCATAACAACTTTCATAACAAATATATATGAATGAGGAGTTTTGGGCTACCACTTAGAAAGGAAAATGGTGAAGTTTTGTTACTTTGGAAACTTGGCTACTAGCAAGACACCTCATTCATCAACTTCCTCGACCGGAGATTTGGGGGACTCCTACCATATGCTACTACACCTCGGTACTTGGAAGGTTCACGACTACTCAGTGACTTGAATCTTTCAAGTCTCCAACTGAGAAGTTTTCCTCACTCGGGAAATTAAGGGAACACTACCTCAACGTACATGCTTCACTCACAAAGCTTCAACATACAAGTTTCAACAAAAGAAAAATTCAAAGAGCTTAGTGAAGAAGACTTTGGTGTATTTAACACATTACGTTGAAATGAAGCAAAGCTTATTTATTGATATCTTCGATAAGTTACAAATATGTACGTATACATGAATCAAAATAAACAAACAAGAGGGAGCCTTCACAAAAGTTGCTCAGGAGAGATCTCAACAGTCGACAGAGCCCCAGAAAGAGAAGGCACCAGAGGGTGATCATTCAGAGCCTTAGTACTAGGCAGAACCTCAGAAGGAGGAGGCATCAGAGGTTGATCATTTGGAGTTTCATTACGCGGTACAGCCCCAGAAGACGAAGGCAATAAATGCTTTTAGAACAAACCCACAAACCTCTGATGATCAAGTAAAATCTGACCATCACATTCCTGCAACTAGTTAAGCTTCATCTTCATGTTTGTAGCATAGTTATGTGCAAGCTTGTGCAACTGTTTATTGTCATGCTTAAGCCCTCTAATCTCCTGTTTGAGACTTATCATTTCAGCCGCCAATGATTCAACTTGGCGGGTTCGAGCAAATAGGTGTTGGGCCATATTAGACACAGAACCTGCACACTGAACACTGAGAGCCAGAGAATCCTTAACAACCAACTCATCAGATTGTTTGGAAAGTAGTATGTTATCTTTAAGAGTGAGAAGGTTCTTGGCCGCCATCGCAGTGGTCATATCATTCTTCATCACAGAGTCCCCAACAGTAAGAGGACCAGTATGGGATAAGAAGGATGGGTGCCATATGTTGTCTTGAGGAGGCATGACTGCCTTTTCACCAAAGTTCAAGTCAAAACGACGGTCGGATGGGCCAAACATTTTTAGAAATGATAAAGGAGAAATGAGGTCCAATAAATCTCTGAAGTACAAAAACAAGGGGAAAATTCCTACAAGCAATAACTCTTTGAACGTACTTCTTGCACACAATTGGTGCCCCTATAAAAGAAAAGGCAGCAAGGCCGTTTGTTCAAAAATCGAAGAGGTGCCACTCTCCGGATTTCGAGAAGCAGATTTTCCTGAGTAAAATATGTCGACAATCCCCACACGCAACATCAGCTCATCAGATACCACAGATAACTTTGCCAAAGATCTTTGACAAAGTTTAGACACACAAATTTTGAAGGTCTAGCTACCCTACCATTACCCATAAGGGTAAAGGAACATCACCACTGCTTGATAACTGGAAAGTCCCTATGTGTGTCAACCTCCATGCTCCGTGGCAAGGCAGACTGGAAAAAATGTCCAACCTTTACTCACATCGAGAAAACACTCCCAACAGGATTACTTGCTCAAAAATCGAAGAGGCATCGCTATCCGAATCTTAATAGCCAAACTCCCATTAGGATTGCTTTCTCCAAAATCGAAGAGACACCACTATCCGAATCTCAAAAGTCAGACTCCCACCAGGATTGCTTTCTCAAAAATCGAAGACGCACCGCTCTCCGAATCTCGAGAGCCAGACTTCCACCAGGATTGTTTTCTCAAAAATCGAAGAGGCATCGCTCTCAAAATCTTGAAAGCCAGACTCCCAACAGGATTGCTTTCTCAAAAATCGAAGAGGTATCGTTCTCCGAATCTCGAAAGCTAGATCCCCGACATGATTGCTTGTTCAAGAGCCCGATTTCCTTGGCTAAAGCTTATATGCAATCTTCACACGCAACATCAGCTTTCCAGATATCACAGACCACTTTTTCAAAGTGCTATGACAAAGTTAAAACACGTGAATCTTCCAGCTCCCACTACATTGCTATGATCGAGAAGGGTAAAGAAACAACGTTACTACTCGCTGTTGGGACAATTCCTATATATGTCAACCTTCATCCTCCAAAGCCATGCAGACCTGCACATAAAAAAAAATGCCCAACTTTTCTTCACATCTGAGAGGGCATTCTCAGCAGAGTATCTCGAAATACTCAGTTTCTTTTCCCCCCGATAATACCTCTGCAAACAAGCCACACCAGAGTAAGAGTATCTCATATTATCAGGGTTAAAAGCAAGAGTATCCCATATCATGCTTTCTCCCTGTCTTTTCATTTGCCCTTGTTCTTACTTGCAAGACAAGGAGAAAGAAAGCAATCAGTCAGCACTTGGAATCAAGCTTCCAGTTAGGAACTGACTGTCTGGAACTCCTTGCCTGATTACTTACCTGGCATTGCTCTCAAGTACTCATCCTTAACATCTTATGCTTTCAGAAAAGACACCACATCTGCCTGGGGAACAGATAGGGCAAGGGAGAAGGATACAAGGAAGCATGTGGAGACAAGCGCAACAAAACACGTGCCCATTCATCTATTACTTTGTCAACAGCAAAAGTATCCCATATCATCAAGGTCGAACGCACTCTTGATTTGATGGACTTGTTTTGACCCTCAAATTCTTGAGTCAGCCTTATACTCTAAAGGAAACCAGAAAACCCTCCAGCCTAGTTCAAGAATAAGCATGTGGAAAGTTACTTCTTCAAAAGCAAAAGTATCTTATATCATCACTTCTCCTTTTTCTTCTCTTTATCCTTCCTGCTGCTTGCAAGATAGGGAGAATGAGAACAATCAGCCGGAACCCGAAATCAAACTTCTGATCTGGGACTGATTGCTGGGAGCTCTGATTGCTTATCTTGTATGTGACCTATTTCGGCAGATCTCCTAACTCGACGACTTGGGGGACTCCTACTACATGGTTTGTATTGCGCTTGACCAAGCCTGAAACTACAAGTAAGCTTCAAGTGAAATTGATACATTACCTTGTGCATCTCCACCGGTTAAAGATACCACCCTTGGATGGAGGAAAAGTATTTCTAAAGAAGATGCCACATCTACCTATGAGACAGATAAGGCAAGTGAAAACGATACCACACTTTGGTACTTAGAAGTTTCATGATTACTCAGCGACTTGGATCTTGCAAGTCCTCAACCGAGGAGATTCCCTCACTCAGGAACTTAAGGAAGCACTGTTTGTACCATACTTGACCAATCCCGAAACTACTGAGCATCGATCAACGTTATACTGTCAAGGACTCAGAAGAGTTTCCCTCAAACCAGGAGGCCAATCACAGTGCGACATGTGTTGACATCAGAAGCCAATCATAGCGCGACACGTGTTAACATCAGAAGCCAATTACAATATGACACGTGTCAATGTCAGAACAAAGCTAGAAACTCTCTTCTATAAAAGGAGATCATTCTCCCACAATATTTCCTAATGTCATTTGTACTAAATCATTCACTAGTACTCACTAAAGGAGAGCTTGAACCTATGTACTTGTGTAAACCTTTCACAATCAATGAGAACTCCTATACTCCGTGGACGTAGCCAATCTGGGTGAACCACATGCATCTTGTGTTTGCTTCCCTGTCTCTATCCATTTACATACTTATCCACATTAGTGACCGGAGCAATCTAGCGAAGGTCACAAACTTAACACTTTCTGTTGTACCAAAGTCCCTACTGATTTTGTGCATCAACAATATAAATTGCAAAATAAAATGACATATAGAATATAAAGTATTAGAACATATTGATAACATGGGGAACAAACATATAATGAGTGTTTATTCAACTATTCAACAAGTCTCTTCATTTTATTGAAAAAAATTAAATGCATAATGAAAGTTATCAATTTTATGTCTAAGTGAGATTCCCAGTGCCTAGGTGGGTCTAGGCAGGTCTAGGTTTAGGTGCTATTTCTTAATTTTCTAAAACCTAGGGATTAATCGGGGCGGTGGCCAACTGCCTAGCGCTTAGGCGGTGCCGAATAAGGATTTTAGAACAGTGGTGAAAACAAAAACTAAAAACAAAATGGTTATCAAAATGTCCCACTAAGACTAGGGTTAATAAGTATCAAATAATTGATAAAATCATTAATAAGGGTCTTTTTTATCTCACACTTCAGCAAGATGCACGCATACATTGTCTTACATTCCATTTTGATACATGATACTAATTCAATGACATATCAATTAGATCTAGATCTAGAATGAACAAAATTTTTCTTATTTTAGGTCTAAACTTTTATCTAAACGAGTCAAATTTGCAGAGTCTATAATGGAAGAGTTGGATTGACATATCAAAGCGGCATATGGAAGTATAATCATAAGACTGATCAAGAAAAGGATCAAATGTCAAAACGAAGTAAAAAGAAAGTGTTGCGCAAAGTCCACAAGTTACAAAGTTACAAGCATACATGTTATACAGTGTGTACAAAAGCAGAAACTCTGTCCAGATAACTTCCTGAACAGATTTATTCTTCTGTACATTTTCAATGTACCTCACAGTCATATGGACCTCTTGTCAAGCCAAGAATCTCTCTAACAAGTTCCCAAAGAAGAAGCTTGTCTTAGCCCATCCCTTAGTCTCAGGTGCCTCAGCAGAATTTGTTGGGACTTTCTTCACATTGAACATCATTGTATGCCCGATTTCTTTACGAAGTGCTGCTATTGTTTTTATGTCCACGGGATTCTCTGAAGAATCTCTAACATAAAAGATATTCATTGCTTGCTCCCCAATTGTTGTGACGCCAGCCCTTGTAACTGACAATCCATTCTCCCTCAGAATTCTTGTTACTTCAGATAGCAAGCCTACTCTATCCTTTGCACACAGTTCTAGCCTTAGACCCTGAATTTCATGGCAATTGAATCGTCTAAACGGATCAAGAACTCACGTCCTCGTTGTTTCCAACATAAAGTAAAGTTTACAAATACATGTTCATATGAATTGGATGCAGTGGATTATGAAGATATGTTAATGCTTTCTACTTTAAACCAGAAAATGATCTCTTCCGTTGCAATCACTTGCCTGGTTTAATGGATGAATTTATAAATTATGTAACAGCTTTTCCATGTACTATCCTTTTTCTTTGAGAATTGCATCAGGGATTCATTCAAATAAAAAGAAATTCCATTCGGATGTTGCGTGTTTAATTGGAGGAAACAATTTAGTTAAGAGGAATTTATGTGCTTGATCTCCTGTATAATATTGCAGGAATACATATACAAGTTAAATGCATATCTACCTTTTATGCTGTGTAGCTGCGAGTCCAGGATTGGCTAAAAAAAAATATGTTTAAGTTCAAATGTGCATTAACTCGAAGCAAAAGCATTAAAACGAGTGTTAAATTCTGGCTATACTTTTCACTAACCTCGCTTACTCTTCTCCGAATTGCAGCGTCAATACATTTGACGACCCTTTCCTTCTCTCCTTCAGTATCGAGGGTGCAACCATCCATGTGACGAATAAAATACTCCTGCAGTTAACTATATGCATCAGTTAAGGTACTTTAATCATTATTCTCAAGCAGTTTCAAAATATGGTGAAGTCAACGAGATGATGGAATTAATTAGAGACTTAGCATAAGAATTCAGTCAAGAAATTAATGATTATGGAATTTTGAAGCCCTTAGAATGTATACAACAACAAAAATAACGTCGTCTTATCTCACTAAGTGAGGCCGGCTGCATGAATACTAAAATGCCACTACGCTCAGTTTTACGCTAAGTCTTTCGTTAGATATAAGTACTCCATGTCTTTTTTTAGGGTCTCTTTCCATATCTTCCTAGATCTTCCTTTACCCCTTTCGCCTTGATTCTCATAATGTATAAAAGAATATTTTCTTTTCATACGCCATAGAATGAATTTCAGGAAAACAGAAAAGCAACCACCTAAAACTGATCTGTTGTAGAAACATAGTTTCAAGAACTTGAAAATCGGCAAACAGATGAGCATGAGATTGAATGTACCTGTGATGCGTATGGGCCATCAGATGAAATGGAGGCATGGAAAACAACGTACTGCATATCTGTGAGTGTGCATACGATGTCAAACATGAGCTTTGCACGGTCTTTGCACCGCACACTAACCACCGAGTACCCTTTTTCTTCACAACGCTCAATGGTGATCTTTGGTTGGAAGCAGGGAGGAAAGTGATCAACTTCATTTGCCAGTCCACCACCCTCATAATCCCTATCAGCAAACAACATCTGGTGGAGCCGCCTATCAACATGGGTGAATCCCATAGAGAAGCTAGTGCGACCAACTTTCTCATCGTCCTCACACCCGCGTAGGATGTTCTTGAGCTGCTCCTCCATAGTAGATAATCGGGCTTTATCCTCCACAGGTTGGCATGCAGTATTATCATTGACATACACAACGCAAGCTATTCGTCTATTGTGTGTCCATACTTCGGCAGCAATTACATTAAAGTGAAGGTTGGCAAGGACAGCAGAGATCTCAGATAAGAGACCTGGTCGGTCTTTGCCAATAAGCTCAATGGCTGTATGATCCCCGAAAGAGTGTACTCCAACCCGTTTTCCTGGCCAAGCATTCAGCACGTCTGTGATATGGCCCTTTGGTCCCAAAGCCTATGCATGCCACAAATCATAGACAACATCGCTCTTAATATTATTACGTGAAAGAAATGCTTTATAAAAACCAAAAGAAAAAAGCGGAAACCCTTTATGCACGGTGCTATTCGGACAATTCACGAGCCTGCATTTTCTAGTAAAGCAAAATTTGGAATGGAGAGAATCTTGATGCAGATGATGATCGCATAAACACAAGAAAGCATGTGGCATTAAAAAAGCACCAAGGAGCTTACCTTCTCTATGTAATCAATGGTTTTGCTGTCTGTAACTTTTTTTCCTTGCTGATCCGTGACGTGAAATACTGTTTATTAAAGAACACAAAATGTCAAATTCATTAGTATACACACATAATGAGTTGTTGCGGACTCCTGTTCTATGCAAGACTTGATATGGGTGGATAATCGTGTGGAATATTTATCCTATTACCACATATAGTGCTTATGGACCTATGGTCTCCAAGTCACTTGTGAATTGCTTGGAAATCCAGTTGGGGTTTGAAATATTATGGATTTAATTAATAAACTATAGATGCATAAGGATTCCTAATGGGCTTATGATGCGCATACGCGGTTAGGGTTATGTATTCTATATAAGGGTCCTTAGTAGTGCTATGTTACACCTAATACTCCCTACTCGGTATTGTAACCTAATGTGTAGAAATGAATAGACGAACTCTTGTTAGCACGCGTTGAGGGATTCAACAACAAACAACAAGAACAAGATGTCTTTGGAACTCAGCAATTCAGGTTAATACTCTAGCGTGTTTTAATTATATGAACACTTTAGGTTAACAAATCAAATGTTTATGCATTAACGAGTTTAAATCAACAACTGTCGATTCAACAAGGTTGACCTCGTACTTATTAAAAGAGTTTAAATCAAGAACTGTCGATTCAACAACAACAACAACAACAACAACAACAAAGCCTTTTCCCACTAAGTGGGGTCGGCTATATGAATCCTAGAACGCCATTGCGCTCGGTTTTGTGTCATGTCTTCCGTTAGATCCAAGTACTCTAAGTCTTTTCTTAGGGTCTCTTCCAAAGTTTTCCTAGGTCTTCCTCTACCCCTTCGGCCCCGAACCTCTGTTCCGTAGTCACATCTTCGAACCGGAGCGTCAGTAGGCCTTCTTTGCACATGTCCAAACCACCGTAACCGATTTTCTCTCATCTTTCCTTCAACTTTCGGCTACTCCTACTTTACCTCGGATATCCTCATTCACAATCTTCTCCTTTCTCGTGTGCCCACACATCCCACGAAGCATCCCACAAAGCATCCTTATCTCCGCTACACCCATTTTGTGTACGTGTTGATGCTTCACCGCCCAACATTCTGTGCCATACAACATCGCTGGCCTTATTGCCGTCCTATAAAATTTTCCCTTGAGCTTCAGTGACCTACAACGATCACACAACACGCCGGATGCACTCTTACACTTCATCCATCCAGCTTGTATTCTATGGTTGAGATCTCCATCTAATTCTCCGTTCTCTTGCAAGATAGATCCTAGGTAGCGAAAACGGTCGCTTTTTGTGATCGTCGCTAGATTGCTCCGGTCATTAGTGTGGATAAGTATATAAATGGATAGAGATAGGAAAGCAAACACCAAGATGTACGTGGTTCACCCAGATTGGCTACGTCCACGAAATAGAGGAGTTCTCATTAATTGTGAAGGGTTTACACAAGTACATAGGTTCAAGCTCTCTTTTAGTGAGTACAAGTGAATGATTTAGTACAAATGACATTAGGAAATATTGTGGGAGAATGATCTCGTAATCACGAAACTTCTAAGTTCCGAGTGTGGTATCGTCTTGACTTGCCTTATCTGTCTCATAGGTAGATGTGGCATCTTCTCTGGAAGTACTCTTCCTCCATCCAGGGGTGGTATCTTTAACTGGTGGAGATGCACAAGGTAATGTATCAATTTCACTTGAAGCTTACTTGTAGTTTCAGGCTTGGTCAAGCGCGATACAAACCATGTAGTAGGAGTCCCCAAGTCGCCGAGCTAGGGGATCTGCTGAAAGAGGTGACAGACAAGGTAAGCAATCAGAGCTCCAAGCAATCAGTCCCAGATCAGAACTTTGATTTCGAGTTCCGGCTGATTGTTCACATTCTCCCTATCTTGCAGGCAGCATGAAGGATAAAGAGAAGAAAAATGAGAAGATGATATGGATACTTTTGCTTTTGAAGAAGTAACTTTCCACAGGCTTATTCTTGAACTGGGCTGGAGGGTTTTCTGGTTTCCTCCAGAGTATAAGGCCGACTGAAGAATTTGAGGGTCAAAACAAGTCCATCAAATCTAGAGTACGTTCGACCCTGCTGATATGGGATACTTTTGCTTTTGACAGAGTAGTGGATGTATCGGCACGTGTGCTGTTACGCTTGTCTCCACATGCTTCCTTGTATCCTTCTCACTTGCCCTATTTGTTCCTCAGGCAGATGCGGTATCTTCCCTGGAAGCATAAGATGTTGAAGATGAGTACTCGAGAGCAATGCCAGGTAAGTAATCAAGTAAGGGGTTCCAGGCAGTCAGTTCCTGACTGGAAGCTTGATTCCAAGTGCTGACTGATTGCTCTCTTTCTCCTTGTCTTGCAGGTAAGAACAAGGCCAAAGGAAAAGACAGGGAAAAAACATGATATGGGATACTCTTGCTTTTAACCCTGATGATATGAGATATTCTTGCTCTAGTATAGCTTGTTTGCAGAGGTATTATCGGGGGGAAAGAAAGCTGAATATTTCGAAAGGCTTCGTTGGGAGTGCCCTCTCAGATATGAGGAAGGGTTGAGCATTTTTGCAGGTCTGCCTGTCCGTTGGGATGGAGGTCAACATATATAGGAGTCTCCCTAACAACAAGTAGTAATGCTATTCCTTTACCCTGCTTGGTCATAGCACGGTAGTGGGAGCTGCCAGCTTCACATGTTTTAACTCTGTCAGAGCACTTTGAAAAAGTGGTCTGTGGTATCTGGAAAGCTGATGTTGCGTGTAAAGATTACAGACAAGCTTTATCCAAGGAGATCCGGCTCTTGAAGTTGGGAAAGTGGTGCCTCTTCGGTTTTTCGAACAAGCAATCCTGTCGGGATCTGGCTCTCGAGATTCGGAGAAACGATGCCTTTCGATTTTTGAGAAAGCAATCCTGCTAGGGGTCTGGCTCTCGAGATTCGGAGAGCGGTGTCTCTTCGATTTTTGAGAAAGTAATCATGTTGGGAGTCTGGCTCTCGAGATTCGGAGGGCGGTGCCTCTTCGATTTTGGAGCAAGCAATCTTGTTGGGAGTGTTTTCTCGAATGTGAGTAAAAGGTTGGGCATGTTTGCTAGTCTACCTTGCCACGAAGCACAGAGGTTGACACACAGGGACTTTCCAATTATCCAGCAGTGGTACTGTTCCTTTACCCTTGTGGGTAATAATATGGTAGCTAGACCTTCAAAATTTATGTGTCTAAACTTTGTTAGTGCTGTTTCTTTGCTATTCTTTTACCCTTCTTGGTCAGAGCGATGTAGTGGGAGCTGCAAGCTTCACGTGTCTCAAACTTTGTCAGAGAACTTTGGCAAAGTTATCTGTGGTACCCATGAGCTAATGTTGCGTGTGGAAAGTGGGTGATTGAACAGTAAGATTCATGTGCTTTCTACTTCACCAGAAATCTTCGACAGAATGCCCATAATTTCCGCAAAGCTGACAGGTGCTGACAAGGCTGGAAAAGTAGGTGCCTCTTCGATTTCTGAGATCGGCCCTCGTGGTCTCTGAGCAGCCCAGCTTTTGAGAAAGCAAGCGCCTCTTCGATTTCTGAGATCGGCCTTCGTGGTCTTTGAGCAGCCCAACTTTTGAGAAAGCAAACGTCTCGTGGTCTCTGAGCAGCCCAGCTTTTGAGAAAGCAAACGCCTTCTTCGATTTCTGAAGCTCTCGTCGAGTGCAGATTTTTTATAGAGGCTGGCATTAAGTTCCAAAGCACACTTGAATCTCCACCAGTAGAAGCTCCATTCTTGCACTTCTAAGATCTTGATTTGTCCGACCTCTTCTCTCTTCAACACCTTTGAAAATGTCTGGCCCCTCCGACCGTCGTTTTGACTTGAACCTTGTTGAAGAGGCAGCCACGCCTTCTCCAGACAACATATGGCGCCCATCCTTCCTTCGTCTCCCCTACTGGTCCTCTTACCGTTGGGGATTCCGTGATGAAGAATGATATGACCGCTGCGGTAGGTGGCCAGGAACCTTCTCACTCCCAAAGATAACAGACTACTTTCCAAACGGTCTGATGAGTTGGCTGTTAAGGATTCTCTGGCTCTCAGTGTTCAGTGTGCAGGTTCTGTGTCTAATATGGCCCAACGCCTATTTGCTCGAACCCGCCAAGTTGAATCATTGGCGGCTGAAGTGATGAGTCTCAAACAGGAGATTAGAGGGCTCAAGCATGAGAATAAACAGTTGCACCGGCTCGCACATGACTATGCTACAAACATGAAGAGGAAGCTTGACCAGATGAAGGAATCTGATGGTCAGGTTTTACTTGATCATCAGAGATTTGTGGGTTTGTTCCAAAGGCATTTATTGCCTTCGTCTTCTGGGGCTGTACCGCGTAATGAAGCTCCAAATGATCAACCTCTGCTGCCTCCTCCTTCTAGGGTTCTGTCCAGTACTGAGGCTCCAAATGATCCCCCTCCAGGTGCCTTCTCTTTCTGGGGCTCTACCGACTGCTGAGACTTCTCCTAAGCAACCTTTGTGAAGGCTCCCTCTTGTTTGTTTATTTTGACTCATGTATATGTACATATTTGTGAACTTATCGGGGATATCAATAAATAAGCTTTCCTTCATTTCAACGTATTGTGTTAAATACACCAAAGCCTTCTTCGCTAAGTTCTCTTGAATTTTCTTTTGTTGAAGCTTGTATGTTGAAGCTTTGTGAGTGGAGCATGTAGGTTGAGGTAGTATTCCCTTAATTTCCCGAGTGAGGAAAACTTCTCGTTGGAGACTTGGAAAAATCCAAGTCACTGAGTGGGATCGGCTATATGAATCTTTGAACGCCATTGTGCTCGGTCCTGTGTCATGTCCTCCGTTAGATCCAAGTACTCTAAGTCTTTTCTTAGAGTCTCTTCCAAAGTTTTCCTAGGTCTTCCTCTACCCCTTCGGCCCTGAACCTCTGTCCCATAGTCGCATCTTCTAATCGGAGCGTCAGTAGGCCTTCTTTGCACATGTCCAAACCACCGTAACCGATTTTCTCTCATCTTTCCTTCAATTTCGGCTACTCCTACTTTACCCCGGATATCCTCATTCCTAATCTTATCCTTTCTTGTGTGCCCACACATCCAACGAAGCATCCTCATCTCCGCTACACCCATTTTGTGTACGTGTTGATGCTTCACCGCCCAACATTCTGTGCCATACAGCATCGCCGGCCTTATTGCCGTCCTATAAAATTTTCCCTTGAGCTTCAGTGGCATACGGCGGTCACACACAACACGCCGGATGCACTCTTCCACTTCATCCATCCAGCTTGTATTCTATGGTTGAGATCTCCATCTAATTCTCCGTTCTTTTGCAAGATAGATCCTAGGTAACGAAAACGATCGCTCTTTGGTATTTCTTGATCTCCGATCCTCACCCCTTGGCCTCCATTTGCACTGAACTTGCACTCCATATATTCTGTCTTTGATCGGCTTAGGCGAAGACCTTTAGATTCCAACACTTCTCTCCAAAGGTTAAGCTTTGCATTTACCCCTTCCTGAGTTTCATCTATCAACACTATATCGTCGTCTGCGAAAAGCATACACCAAGGAATATCATCTTGAATATGTCCTGTTAACTCATCCATTACCAACGCAAAAAGGTAAGGACTTAAGGATGAGCCTTGATGTAATCCTACAGTTATGGGAAAGCTTTCGGTTTGTCCTTCATGAGTTCTTACGGCAGTCTTTGCTCCTTCATACATATCCTTTATAGCTTGGATATATGCTACTCGTACTCCTTTCTTCTCTAAAATCCTCCAAAGAATGTCTCTTGGGACCCTATCATACGCTTTTTCCAAATCTATAAAGACCATGTGTAAATCCTTTTTCCCATCTCTATATCTTTCCATCAATCTTCGTAAGAGATAGATTGCCTCCATGGTTGAGCGCCCTGGCATGAACCCGAATTGGTTGTCCGAAACCCGTGTCTCTTGCCTCAATCTATGCTCAATGACTCTCTCCCAGAGCTTCATTGTATGACTCATTAGCTTAATACCCCTATAGTTCATGCAATTTTTGTACGTCGCCCTTATTCTTGTAGATAGGCACCAAAGTGCTCGTTCGCCACTCATTTGGCATCTTCTTCGTTTTCAAAATCCTATTGAAAAGGTCAGTGAGCCATGTTATACCTGTCTCTCCCAAAACTTTCCACACTTCGATTGGTATATCGTCTGGGCCTACTGCTTTTCTATGCTTCATCTTCTTCAAAGCTACAACCACTTCTTCCTTCCGGATTCGACGATAAAAAGAGTAGTTTCTACACTCTTCTGAGTTACTCAACTCCCCTAAAGAAGCACTCCTTTCATGTCCTTCATTGAAAAGATTATGAAAATAACCTCTCCATCTGTCTTTAACCGCGTTCTCTGTAGCAAGAACCTTTCCATCCTCATCCTTGATGCACCTCACTTGGTTTAGGTCCCTTGTCTTCTTTTCCCTTGCTCTAGCTAGTTTATAGATATCCAACTCTCCTTCTTTGGTATCTAGTCGCTTATACATATCGTCATAAGCCGCTAACTTAGCTTCTCTCACAGCTTTCTTCGCCTCTTGCTTCGCTTTTTCTATACCTTTCACCATTTTCATCGGTCCTATCCTTGTATAAGGCTTTACAACATTCCTTCTTAGCCTTCACCTTTGTTTGTACCTCCTCATTCCACCACCAAGATTCCTTTTGGTGTGGGGCAAAGCCCTTGGACTCTCCTAATACACCTCTTTTGCTACTTTTCGGATACAACTAGCCATGGAATCCCACATTTGGCTAGCTTCCCCCTCTCTATCCCACACACACTGGGTGATTACTTTCTCTTTGAAAATGACTTGTTTTTCTTCTTTTAGATTCCACCATCTAGTCCTTGGGCACTTCCAAGTCTTGTTCTTTTTTCTCACTCTTTTGATATGTACATCCATCACCAACAAGCGATGTTGATTAGCCACGCTCTCTCCTGGTATAACTTTGCAATCCTTACAAGTTATACGATCCCTTTTCCTCATTAGAAGAAAATCTATTTGTGTTTTTGACGACCCACTCTTGTAGGTGATCACATGTTCTTCTCTCTTCTTAAAGAAGGTGTTGGCTAAGAAGAGATCATATGCCATTGCAAAATCCAAGATAGCTTCCCCATCCTCGTTTCTCTCCCCAAAACCATGGCCACCATGAAAACCTCCATAGTTGCCTGTCTCCCTGCCCACGTGTCCATTTAAATCTCCTCCTATAAATAACTTCTCCGTCTGAGCAATTCCTTGCACCAAGTCTCCAAGGTCTTCCCAAAATTTCTCCTTCGAACTCATATCCAACCCTACTTGAGGTGCGTACGCACTAATCACATTGATAAGTTCTTGTCCTATTACAATCTTGATTGCCATGATTCTATCTCCTACCCTCTTGACATCTACAACATCTTGTGTCAAGGTCTTGTCCACGATGATGCCAACACCGTTTCTCGTTCTATTTGTGCCCGAGTACCAAAGTTTAAACCCTGAGTTTTCTAGATCCTTTGTTTAAGACCAACCCACTTAGTTTCTTGTAGGCACATAATATTTATCCTTCTCCTCACCATAACTTCCACTACTTCCATAGATTTTCCCGTTAAGGTTCCTATATTCCACGTTCCTAAACGCATTCTACTCTCCTGAACTCTACCCTTCTGTCCTAGCTTCTTCACCCTCCCCCGTCCAATGGAATCAAAGTACTTCTTTTGTGTGTCCCGTGTAAAGTTGATAGGTGCATATGCGCCCAAACAACTTTGAGTGGAGTCGTTCGAAAAGAACTGTCGATTCAACAAGGCAATTTTTTTTTTTTCCGCAGAGGACCACAAATAAGTAAAATATTTACCAGTTCAAAAGAGGATTTGGTGCCAAGACGACTAAGTATCAAAGAATAATCAGGCAGAAAATATGCATACCATCCATGAACCATCCACCATCTGAGGAGATATAGGCCTTGGTGATTATGAGGTCAAGGTCTGTCAAGATTTGCACGACTTCAAGCAGAATTCCCGGTTTGTTGACACTATCAACCTACACATGCATTTCATACCCCCACACCAATTTCAACATGATGGCTGGATTAATATATGTTTACTGAGTGTAATTTAAAAAGGAAGCAAATTAAATCCCGTCTTTGGTTGGTTTTCCGGGAGTTTGGAAGACATGTATTCCATTCAGAGTTAAATTAACCTCTATGAATTTCATACATGACTGCGAGAATCTAGTGTCAGCAGAAAGCGTAATTCTAACGATTAAAAGGAAAAATCACCTTGACTAGAGTACAGTCACTGCAGCTAGAGTTGTCTACGGAGACCCTGCAAACAAATCGTACAGCAATGTAAAATAATTAGAAGATAATATATATGGAACTGTTATTATTACTCCAAAATATTCACGCACATTCTAAAAAATAACAATCTCGCTGAATGAAATGGTGAAACCTGAATAGAATTTTGATTAAATAGTTCATACGCACCCAGAGAGAATACCTTGGGGGATTGATTCTTGTGCTCAGGTTCTCATACTCAGGATCAAAGTATGGCGAACAAACTCTAGCCATTTAAGTCACCACTTCTTCAATCAACCTCAAATTCTTTCCTGTGACATAGAATAGCTCAGACTACCGTGTTAACGAATTATAACTTGGTTAATAAACAATTTTATATTTGTACATTCTATTGAACTCAATGCTGATACTAATGCACGCACCAAGAAAACGAAAAGGGTTATTGTCCTCCGGCACAGCAATAATTACATCTTAATAAGGACATAATTTTTTTTAAATATTCACGGAGTGACAAAGGTTAATAAAAGAGATGAGCTTAGCACAACACGGTATGGGACTATCTTGACCTACGTCAAAGCATACAATGAACCGAATTTTTCCAGAGAAGGAAACAGTTCATCTGTTGATTTTGACCTTGCCATTTAAGCAAGGCTTTACTGCTATACCATAACGGCCTAGATTTCTCTCCTTTTTTGTATAAGAATTTGTATTTTCAGGAAGCTGTGCATGTTAACAAATTAGACGTACATGAATCGAAATTTTGTATAAAAACAAACATTGTCCCTTCATAAATTTCATCCAATAAGATTACAGGCAAACAAGCATGGCTGTGCATATTAGAAGTGCAGTGGTGTTAACATTTCTTCTGATGCTAACAAGTACATGTTACGCCGATATCATCAATCCCATAACTCATGTCACAATTATTAACTATTTACGTAATGGTCGCGACCTTACAGTTCACTGTAAGTCCGCGGATGATGATGTTGGTGTTCATGTGATACCCCCTAATGGGTCCTTTGAGTTCCATTTTCGACCAAATTTTTGGAATTCAACGCAATATTATTGCAAATTTGACTGGGAAGGCGGATCTTACTGGTTTGACATATACATACAACTTAGAGACAAGCCTAACTGCGTGAAGAATTGTAATTGGCTCATCATACCAAATGGTGCATGCAGGCAAATTGAAGGAAGGCCAGATTTGGTGGACAGGTGCTATCCTTGGAATTCATAATTATTTTGATTAATGTATTAATCTATTAATAATTGCTTGCTTTGTTGAATAAGAGTTTCTCTGTTGGGAGATTAGTGAAGCAAACCTAGCTTCAAATATCATGTCTCTTTGTTTCTTACAAAACAAGATAAATGAGATCTTTGGTTACGAGCCTTATTATTTTTCTTATTTTTTTTTACAATTGTATTCCAATTTATGTTTGATCATATTTTGAAGCTAACATAAATTTAAGGAGTTAATTAACACTCTAATACAAAGTCATCATCCACTCAAAACATGTAAAAATATTAGAGAATAATCACTCGAATGAGTGCAAAAAGAAAATTTTGGAATTGGAGTGTTAACAACCATGATTTATTGGAGGTTTTAATGAAAATAGCTTAAACTAACAAAAATTTAATGAAAAACACTTGGTGAATTTTTATTATAGAGACAACAAAAAAAGCGGTGGTATTTTCGTAAATAAGTTGAAGTTTGGTGATAGTATTGAATAAGGTGAAGTTTGAAAAAAGAGACAGTGACAATTTTCGCAAATAAGCCGAATTTTCGTTAAAGTTCCTTTGTTTTTAATTGTTAAGAACACACCTATTATTATAAAAATTAAAATTAAATTAAATGAAAAAATAAAATAAAAAACACTAATTTTACTTACCCAAGCTACCCTCATACCCCACATTATCCCCATGTATAGTAGGGATTGGCTCAAATGATTTTATAAAAAAATAAACCTTCGTTTGACCCATTGAACTCTTATCCTAGTTGAAATCGACTCCTTGAACTATATTTTTGTCAAATTAATCGCCTGAATTATTTGAAATTATCCAATTAAACCCTCACCATCAAATACTAGCACACCTTTACTCTATATTTGATGACAAAGTGAATGCAATTTTATCGAATCAGGGTTAATTGATTAATTTGAAAAAGTTCAAGGAGTTAATTTACCAAAAAGATAATTCAGAGGGTCAATTTCAACTGGGATAATAGTTTAGGAAGTCAAACGACAATGTACTCTTTTAAAAATTTAGTAGCTTAGCCGAAGCAATGTAAATTTTTATTAGAGATGCCAAAGTTGTTTATATTTTCGGCAAGCATCTACCAAATTAGTGATTCAGCACGTCAATAACAAAACTATGCACCATTTTCAATAGATATCTATTGAAAATATAGTTTAGGAGGTGAAACGATAGTGTACTCTTTTAAAAGTTTAGTAGCTTTAACCGAAGCAACGTAAATTTTTATTACAGATGCCAAAGTTTATATTTTCGGCAAGCATTTACCGAATTGGTGATTCAGTACGTCAATAACAAAACTATGCACCCTTTTCAATAGGTATCTATTGAAAATATATAAAGTTTCACCAAACTTCTACATAAGTGGTGCATATTTTCAATAGGCTCCAACTTAAAAGTACATAACGAATGAAATGTACAAGTTTTTAACATGTGTTTATCGAAATATCTTCACCTTTTCAGTCGAGACCTAATGAAAAACTATATCAGGATTTAGGATTTTAGAAACAGTAAGACAACATTCAAATTGAATGCAAAATGAAAAAAAAAAAAATATGAAGCCATACCTCATGTAAAGTATTCAGACTTTCAATTTTATATTTCATTCATAAAAATGAACTTTTTTCATTAATATTCAGATTATAAAAGTTCATTTAAAAACCTACCTAAATAGTTAGTTCATATTAAGGCATACATGTCATTTTAAGTGGGATGTATTCAATAAAATTTGAGGTGTCAATAAAACAACCCATAATTTATTTAAAGTTTGAATGATTGGACACGTGACAAGTGATGGATTGTCTTGGTAGTTAAAAACTTCCTCTTTAACCCGCTATGTTCCGAGTTTAGACCGTTCTTCTTCCACGCAATATTATTGCAAATTTGATTGGGAAGACGGATCTCAATGGTTTGATATTTACGTACAACTAAGAGACAAACCTAACTGCGTCAAGAAATATGAGTGGCTCATAATACCGAACGGTGGTGCATGCCGGCTAATTGAAGGAAGGCCAGATTTGGTGGACAAGTGCTATCCTTGGAATGAGAGTTCAAATCTTTTACACTCAAAACCTTCTGTGGCCTATTTGTGACTTATCACATTTGTTAACACTTTATCATTTATTTAAATCTTACTTATCAATATTAACTCTTCAACTTATCTCCTTAATAAAAAAAAATAAAAAAAATAAAGTCAAAATGACACGAGTCACTCAAATAAATAAGCCACATATAGTCTATAAGGAGTTTTGGTTATGAAAATTTGAACTCATGGAATGATGCCCCTTCATAATAACTTTGATTAATGTATCTTTATTCTATCAATAAAGTTTGCTTTGTTGTACAAGGGTTTCTCTTGGGAGATTAGTGAAGCAAGCCTAGCTTTCTTTGTTTCATTAGAAAAAAATTAGTGATATCATCTTTTTTATATACAATGATATTCTATATTTAAGAGAAGGCGAATTGGGTTAGATCACATAATGTGCAGGTTACTTACTAAGTATTATACTGAACATAAATAAAATAGATTATCGTCATCTATTTGCGTTGAACATGAGACTCCTCAATTACAAGTGAAGAGAAATACCACTATAAATAGTATTAGTTGCAAAGATTAATGAGATGATTAATTCGTAATTAATGATGAGTGTTACTATTTTTCTTACGTGAATCACCTTCTAATTACTTTTATAATTTCTATTCTTTCTCTTCTTTTATGGAATGAGAGATTCAAACTAGATGTCAGATACCGTAGAAGTGGCAACAACACCTTGTATTAGGAGTAAATTTTAGTGTATTTGGAGTACTGTTATGGGGTTTTACAATTTTACTGAAATTATAATACTTTTTTTTTTTGGAACAAACGATATTATCTATACTAGGGGAGGTGAGCTTAGCCTCACAATGTGCTAACAATAATGTGGTTCAAATTATCCTTTGGCGAGAATCAAACTTAAGATCTCTCACTTACAAATGAAAATGAAGACCACCAAATCATAGTACTAAGTGGTCTCATATTATGTTATATTATTTTGTATATCTGATCTGACCTAATAAGTCAAAATGAATTTTCTTTTTGTCAAGATTGGGGTTTTGGGTTGTTTTACTTTTGTTGGCCCATTTCGGCCAATCGTCATTTGTTTGATTTATATTTTTTTAGGACAACTGATATTCTATATTAATTCATACTTGAGGAATGAGGATTAGAGAGGTTGAACTCAAGACGAAAAGGTTGAAGAGTTTGGCCCTGGTTGCAATCAAAACTTGCAAATTTCATTTCATTTTTAATTTACTGGGTGGACGGGAAAGCAACAAAATTATTTACCCAAAAAAAAAACAAAAGCTAACTTACTAAATAGCATTGGATATATTAAGGAGAGTACCTTAGGTGAAAAAGAGATCTAAGGGATGTTGGTAGATGACAATAAAATTAGCCCAAGGAGTGCAGGTGGTCTCAAATTGTTGATAAGTACTCTCACTGCCTCACATGGTGGTTCCAAATTCTGCAAACAAAATGACAATGAATCAGTTCTGCAGCCTCAGAACTACCACTTGCAACACATAACAAAGCAAGAAATGTATTGCATTAATAATGTTCAAATAAATCTGAACTATGAGATATTATTTCATGAGATTGTCATACCATCGCTTGATGTAATCTTTATTACTTATTAATAGAATACTCTTTAGTAAAAAAAAAAAACTAATGAAAATACTATTATACGCTTTCATGCATAATTGAAAGAAAATATCATAAAATAAATATCATGGGTATTAAGTAATTTTGCACAAAAAAAATTGTTTTTTTTTCTTTTCTCACCCACATGTTATCAAAACATGTCTCTAATTTAAAAAATCTAAACTACCTACTATACCTTTTAATACAAAAATGGAAGAAGATATTAGAAAAGAAAATAATGTAGGCCTTAAAGTAATTTTGTATAAACAAGTTTTTACTGTTTTTTTTTCTAAACTTCACAACTATATCACTTTATCCATACCCTTTCAACTCATTCTCTCTCTCTCTCTCTCTCTCTCTCTCTCTCTCTCTCTCTCTCTCTCTCTCTCTCTCTCTCTCTCTCTCCTA